TGCTGAAATTTACTGTGAATATTGTAAATGATACAATATTGATATTTATGGGCATCATCAATTCACAAAACATATGAATATCCCCCTCGCAGTTTGAGAAATTCATTTAAATTCATGTATTTTATGAGTGCAGACATTGGAATAGACTGACTAATCCTCTTTCAAATTTGTGTTAATCAGAGTTGATTGTATAACTTATAACAAAATTAGACTTCTGTTAAATAATTAGGTTACTTTGATTTTAAACAAGGGCCTAATCCAGCAACAAAGGCAATTCCAGTCATGTAATCAGTGCTGGCTTGATATAAAAGTTATACTTTGGGGAAAACTTAGAGATGACTAGTAGGAAATTTAAATTAAAATACTGTAATATATTTTAGCAGAAAATACATTGAAAATACAAGAAATTTGCAAAATTATTATTGCAAAAATTATGAAAAAGGCCTGAATATCCTTCCTCCTTGCCATATCCAATCTTGATATTCTGCAGAAAAGAAAAATTCAAAAGATGATGTAAATAATAAAAAATTATAATATAAGCTACTACATGCATTTATCAGTATGTTTTAATAAAATAAAATATATTTCAGCAATGTATTCTCAAGAAGGAAGAGATTAATGAACCCTCCCCTCTTACAATGAACAACACATGGACACTCTCAGGATGGTCCCTTTGCTTTCATTAAGAGTTCCAAGGTATGGTTTTCCTAGCCAATCTAGTTAATCTATGAATATTTAAGTTATTTAGAACTTTTTATAGATTATTAGAAAATAAATTTCTTCAGAACTGCAGTTATTTAAGCACTTTGCTTACAATTGAGCACTGTATTCAATAAGACAATATGATTTATCTGCCCTTGGCATTTAATCAATTTATTAATTATGTCAATAATAAGAAATGATATGCAAATGAATATCTTTGCCTTTCATGAGAATATACATATTTAACATCCATTACATAAAATGTTCATGAAAATTGGCTAAAATGTAGGTCACCCCCCTTCAAAATTACAAAATTCTCAGTGGGGACGTATTTGATTCTCTGATGCCAGCAACCCATTGCCAATGAAATTCTTTTTAATATTATGTGCATTGAAACTACATATAATTCTCTTTCTTTCCATTGATTATTTTATCTACATTAGTTTTCGCTCTCTCCATAACTCAGCATTTTCTTACAAAAACCTGCTGATTTTCTTCATTTTTCATTAATAACGGGTACCTGCTACCCTGAATGATTAACATGATCTATCTTGAGAGATCATGAGAGATAATAAGAAAAACAAGCAAAACATATGCTAGATTAATCATTTTATTTGAAAAGTTTGAAAGAAAAATAGAAAATTGCTTCAATTTCTAGACATCTTTTCTGTTTCACAGATGTGTGTCTGATTGACTGGGGTGTGAAATGTAACAGCCAATGGTGTACCTAAGCTAAGACTGTCAGTCCCAATGTTCAAGAGGTGAGATAAGCAATGGATATGTGTTCTAAAAATACTAAATTGACCACTTTTTATAAATGTTTCTTTTACTCTATAGGAAAAACCCCTACATAAACAAACACATGGGCGCAGACATTTTGGACACCCAAGGTTGTGCGGAGGAGAAAATGCTAGCTGGCGCGTGATTGGTCAATAAGAGAAAAGACTTGTTATGTATTTGACAAGTGAAATAAAGTTGATAAAAATCTCATATCAAGACTTGGGTTTCTTTGAGATATATAGGAGTTACAGGTAAAAATTTGAAGGGAGGGGTGCCCTTTGGTTAGAGATTTTCATTTGGTGTCAAACGCACCTTGTTGTAAACAAATGGAAATTGAAAGTAAAAGTGCCGCGTGACGGTATATTTTTTCTGGCATGTTTTGTTTTCCAATATCTCGAACTTTCACGACAAAAAGGCCATTTGCCCGAAATTCAATATATGTATGAGTGACAGGGGCTGAAGTTTGTATGGAAGTCTATGGAAAAACATTTAGCGGTGTTTGTCCTATAGAATAGGTATGTATTTCATGGAAAAACATTGATTACAGTCACAAAATCAATCAGTTCCTATCTTTTTGGCATTGAGATCATATTTTAGTTAATTTTTACTATTTTTTAAAAAATTAGAGGGTTTTGGTAAATTGAGGCTCACAATGGGGACTGCACATGGTGAAAAAATGCCAAAATTTTTGCCCTAGCTCTCATATTTTCAATAAATGTACATGTAAATAATTTTAAATAAATATTTATGCTGAAATTTACTGTGAATATTGTAAATAATACAATATTGAGGTTTATGGGCATCATCAATACACAAAGCATATGAATATCCCCCTCGCAGTTTGAGAAATTCATTTAAATCCATGTATTTTATGAGTGAAGACATTGGAACAGATTGACTAATCCTCTTTCAAATTTGTGTAAATCAGAGTTGATTGAATAATTTATAACAAAATTAGACTGCTGTTAAGTAATTAGGTTACTTTGTTTTTATATAAGGGGCCTAATCCAGCAACAAAGGCAGTTCCAGTCATGTAATCAGTGCTGGCTTGATATAAAAGTTATACTTTGGGGAAAACATTAGAGATGACTAGTAGGAAATTTAATTTAAATTACTGTAAAATATATTTTAGCAGAAAATACATTGAAAATACAAGAAATTTGCAAAATTATTATTGCAAAAATTATGAAAAAGTGCCTGAATATCCTTCCTCCTTGCCATATCCAATCTTGATATTCTGCAGAAAAGAGGGGGGGGGGTAATTTTGTACTCTAATGATGCTGGAAAATGAAGGAATTTTTTTTAAAATGTGGTTTATTTGAACAACAAGAGTCATGCTTATCTGCAGTTATTTTTTTCAATTTCTTAGATATTTTTTAAAATAATTATCTGAGTAAATTCTATTTAAACATGATTATTTTAAAGCTATTTCATCACTAATGCTTATAAAAAATTCAAAAGATGATGTAAATAATAAAAAATTATAATATAAGCTACTACATGCATTTATCAGTATGTTTTAATAAAATAAAATATATTTCAGCAATGTATTCTCAAGAAGGAAGAGATTAATGAACCCTCCCCTCTTACAATGAACAACACATGGACACTCTCAGGATGGTCCCTTTGCTTTCATTAAGAGTTCCAAGGTATGGTTTTCCTAGCCAATCTAGTTAATCTATGAATATTTAAGTTATTTAGAACTTTTTATAGATTATTAGAAAATAAATTTCTTCAGAACTGCAGTTATTTAAGCACTTTGCTTACAATTGAGCACTGTATTCAATAAGACAATATGATTTATCTGCCCTTGGCATTTAATCAATTTATTAATTATGTCAATAATAAGAAATGATATGCAAATGAATATCTTTGCCTTTCATGAGAATATACATATTTAACATCCATTACATAAAATGTTCATGAAAATTGGCTAAAATGTAGGTCACCCCCTTCAAAATTAGCAAAATCAGCTGGGGATGTATTTGATTCTATGTGCAGCAACCCGTTCCAAGTAATCTTTGAATGGCATCATTGAGCAAAGTGCTGAAAATAAATGGAAAGAGGGAAAACATAACTGGAAAGAAAGAAATTTATTTTCAAATGTAATAATTATGGAAAAAACGGGTTGCTGGCATCAGAGAATCAAATACATCCCCACTGTGTAAATATCCCTACATTTTAGCCAATTTCCATGAACATTTTATGTAATTGGTGTTAAATATGTATATTCTCATAAAAGGCAAATATATTTATTTGCATATCATTTCTTATTATTGACATAATTAATGATTAAATGCCAAAGGGCAGATAAATCATATTGTCTGACTGAATACAGTGCTCAATTGTATGCAAAATGTTTAAATAACTGCAGTTCTGAGGAAATTTATTTTCTAATAATCTATAAAAAGTTCTAAATAAATTAATTATTGATTTAGATTTTCTAAGAAAATCATACCTTGGAACTCTTAATGGAAGCAAAGGGATCATCCTCAGAGTGTCCATGTGTTGTTCATTGTAAGAGGGTAGGGTTCATTAATCTCCTCCATCTTGAGAATGCATTGCTGAAATATATTTTATTTTATTAAAACATACTGATAAATGCATGTAGTAGCTTATATTGTAATTTTTTATTATTTACATCATCTTTTGAATTTTTTTATAAGCATTTGTGCTGAAATAGCTTTAAACTAATCATGTTTAAATACAATTTACTCAGATAATTATTTAAAAAGTATCTAAGAAATTGGAAAAATAACTGCAGATAAGAATGACTCTTAATGTTGTTCAAATAAACCACATTTAAAAAAAATCCTTCATTTTCAAGCATCATTAGAGTACAAAATTACCCCCCCCCCCTTCTTTTCTGCAGAAATCAAGATTAGATATGGCAAGGAGGAGGGATATTCAGACACTTTTTTCATCATTTTTTCAATAATAATTTTGCAAATTTCTTGTTTTTTCAATGTATTTTCTGTGAAAATATATTTTACAGTATTTTAATTTAAATTTCCTACTAGTAATCTCTAAGTTTCACCAACAGTATAACTTTTATATCAAGCCAGCACTGATTACATGACTAAAATTGGCTTTGCTGCTGGATTAGGCCCCTTGTTTAAAATCAAAGTAACCTAATTATTTAACAGAAGTCTAATTTTGTTATAAGTTATACAATCAACTCTGATTAACACAAATTTGAAAGAGGATTAGTCAGTCTATTCCAATGTCTGCACTCATAAAATACATGAATTTAAATGAATTTCTCAAACTGCGAGGGGGATATTCATATGTTTTGTGAATTGATGATGCCCATAAATATCAATATTGTATCATTTACAATATTCACAGTAAATTTCAGCATAAATTTTAATTTAAAACTATTTACATCTACATTTATTGAAAAAATGAGAGCTAGAGCAAAAATTTTGGCATTTTTTCACCATGTGCAGTCCCCATTGTGAGCCCCAATTTACCCAAACCCTCTAATTTTTAAACAAATAGTAAAAACTAACTAAAATATGTTCTCATTGCCAAAAAAATAGGAACTGATTGATTATTTGGCTGTAATCAATGTTTATCCATGAAATAATACCTATTCTATAGGACAAACACCACCAAATGTTTTCCCATAGACTTCCATACAAACTTGAGCCCCTGTCACTCATACATATATTGAATTTTGGGCAAATGACCTTTTTGCCGTGAAAGTTCGAGATATTGGAAAACAAAACATGCCAGAAAAAATATACCGTCACGCGGCACTTTTACTTTCAATTTCCATTTGTTTACAACAAGGTGCGTTTGACACCAAATGAAAATCTCTAACCAAAGG